ACAAACTTGTCTTTCTTTCTGACAACCTATTCAGGAATTTTTTCCTGTGCAGACGTTGTGTTTCACAGAAGAGAGTGCGGGAGAAGGTTGGGGAGGGGGAAAACGCAGACAAAAAACAAAACTTAAGTAGATTTATTTCATGATAAATGTTTTTCACAACAACAACAAATGTGCTAATCTTAACGATGCATCTACCCGAAAAGCGAACGAAATGAAATAAAGCGACGAACAGCGAGAGAGATGGAGATACGCAGCTAAACAGAGACGGCAATAGAGCCTGGCTTCAGAGTAGAAGTAGAAATAACCCCAAAAATAAGCAACAACTGTGAGTTAGCTCGCTGCTTTTGGTTTTTATCAGCGTGAGGATCTCTTATCAACTCGCTGCATCTGCGCTCTCAGCGGAGTTTTTTCGTTTATTAATGTGTGTGTGTATATGAGAGTGTGTTTGTTGTGTGGGGAAGGGTATCCAGGTCAAAAGGGGAAGTACAGGGAAGTACAGGGAAGCGGGGGAGTGCCTCCAAATGCTGCGTCATTCGAAATTGCAGAACAGAAAAAGAAAAGCAGAAAAGCAATCAAGAAACATTACAAAGTGCATATATCTCTTTCGAATTAATGCAACCGATAAGTCCTATAGCCTTATGCTTATATCGAATATGATCAAATTTGTGTTTAGAATGTAAATATTATATTTAAGATTTCAAGATTGCCTTTAGAGAAGTTGGTCTGGTAATCTGTAGATCTACAGTGTTCTGTGTACAATTTCTCCCATTGTAGTATTTTTAGCATATTTTCTTGAAAACGCTTTTTCGATGTACGAGTAGTGCAATCAGCAGACGTTGATCTGTCGCATTTGTTCATATTTATGTCAATAAATGAGCACGTAACACCAATGGCACACATAGATACACACAGAGCCAAGCGTATGTATACGTATGTACTGACTTGTCGCTACATAATTGCAAAACAATTGCTTCTGCCAGAGCCGAAAAGAGATGGCAAAAATGGGGGAAAGGGGAATGGGTGGTGGCAGTTCATCACCCCAACAACAACCAGCAACCAACAACCGACAACCGACAACTACCAGCAGCAACAACGCGAAACAACAGCAGCGGTCGCATTTATCACAAACTGTTTGCAGATATTCACGCATGAAGTGGTTATCGCTGCATAAGCTCGTAGCTTAAAAAACACCCACAACTGCTGAAAATGTAATCTAACACATAAGGAGGCAAGGAAGGCTAAAACCAATAGGTAAAGCCTGTAATAACGAAGGTGGAATACCCTTTATCTTCTCCTAGATTAACATTTATATACCTACTATAAAGTAAACCCTTGTTATCTGTCTGATTGAGTTTGGTTTTGGTCCAAACAGTGCCATGATGATTTTAGTTTTAGGGCTAGGTCAAGTTCGTAATAAAACTGCCAAATACATAACAATAATTATAAAAATACCTAGATTGGCTCACGTTGATCTAAGCATCTGCGTCCTTGAGCAGTATCTGATAGATATACAGGGTATTTCAAAGTCGTGCTGAGAGCCTTGGGCAAAGGGGCGAACCGAAGGGGGTTGCAAGAGAGTTGGCGGCAAGCGGCACGTTTAATGAATCTAATTAAAAGTCAACAATGGCAAACGAGATAATCGCCGCAAAGGCAGCCAGCAGACAACAACAAATTTGGCAGGGGGAGGGTGGTCCGTTGGTCCGTTGGCTGTGGATATATCTCAATATATATAACTATAACGCTAGGCCACAACGCATGCGCAACACGCTGCAAACAGCTGATTGCGGAGAGCAGAGCGGGAGATAGAGCGGATGGGAAGGGAAGCCAGGCGATTGTTATCGCTGGGAAAGAAGAAAACGTTTTTTGCATCTGCAAAGTTGCCAGGGAAATGGAAATAAACCAAACGCCGATAGGAATCAGAGGCGGAGGTCGCCTGAGATGTAGATGGGAAGTGGGGAGTGCCTGGAAGGAGCGACAGAGAGAGCGGGAAAGAGTAGCAAAAGCAACATAAAAATAGATCTGCGTCGAGCGATAAGCTCGCCAGGAAAACCATCCGAGAAAGAGCCGAACAAAAGCCCCGTGAGCAAAAGCTGCAGAATGATGATGGAGAGTTGATGGAGATGCAGATAGAAATGGCCATGTGGATGCGGCTGGAGGAGGTGAATGATAACCGATGGAGAGATCTTGAGGTTTTATAGAAAAGTCTGAGAGCCATAAAAGATGGAACTTTTGATTGGGATTGTGAGAGATACTTAAAAGGAAATAAAAAATATTCTTTTCGGAATTATAACTGTAAATATATAATTAAATCAATCAATTTGGGTTTCTTTATAAAACACGCAATGTAAATTCACATTTAAATACCTTCTAAATATCGAAACTTATTCACACCCCGTTTCGCTCAGTGCATTCAGATACAGATACAGAGATACAATTAAACACAAAACGCTTATCACTAAGCAATAATCAGAATTCCATTAGCCGTAGACGCGATATCGCTGAAAAGCATCTCCCTCGCGCACAGACACACACAAGCACACCCTCTTCTGTATCTGCAGTGGTGTTCGACGTTCGACGTTCAGTGTTCGGTGTTCGGTGTTTTAGTGTTTGTGTATCCGTTCGCTGCTGGTTGGTTGGTTGGTTTTGGTTCTGTTTCTGTTTCTCCGATGTTATCTAAGCGCAGAGCTCGCCGCGCTGCGTCCTTATCAGTGCTTTATCAGTTTTTGTTTCGAATAATTCCGAGGCGAGCGAAGGAAGTCGACCGCAGCAGAGAGTCTCTGAAGTCTCGTTCTCGGTGTCTCCGCTCAGGCACAATATCTTATTTCAGTTGGCGGCAGACCGACGAGCGAGAGAGTTCCTCGGTTGCTGATACGAATCCATAGTCAGTACGAATCCAGTCCGGTGCCAGTTCGAATCCCAAAGATAAACAACTTTCAGCCCGGCATCCCGGCATCAACAAACATCAGCTGTGCAGCGTCGTCATCGTCATCGCCGCTCGGTTTAGGTCGCTCGGTATCTGTATCGGTTGTATCTGTATCTCACAGCGGCGCACGAAAATTTCATTACTCACCGCCTCAGCCGGTCGGTCGGTCCGAGTTTCAGTTTGCTGTGGAACGCGGAGCAAACAGCAACCACGAGCGGTACGCGGTAGTCGATTCCCAGCGGGAATTCAAGGGAACAAGAGCAACGATACGATACTATACGTTCGTCATAACTAAAATTTGAATAATTGTATTACAGTGAATGAGTCAAAGTGAGTTCCCATCAGAGGTGACAGCATAATTGCCGCTTTAGTTCGGCCTAAACAAAAGCTAAAACATGTGCGCGTGAGAAAGTGATAGAGTGAGAGAGTGAGAACAAAGCCTGGATTATCTGCCAAGTGGATTACAAAAATAAAAAGGACAACCATGCTTAGCAGCAATTCGCGAGGTGAGCGATGTCTCTGAGTAGTGCAAGAAAGGTCGTCATCTACCACGTGACCTTTTTTATGACATTACACATTTCTTGCTAACTTAACTTAACTTGGCTTATACCAATACCGATACCTATACTCTCGGTTTGACTTTTGGAGACATAAAGACATTGTTCTACGGTTTATCTCATTAGAAACTCAACATATTTATCATTACCCTAGAAATGAATATTGTTTTCTAGGGTGAATAGTTTGCCAGATATGTGCCTTACATTCTAAACTAAATTATTCATTTGTTTACAATAAGTTGATACTTGAAAAGAGCATCTGTACTTAGAAGCCAGTTGGTAATAATAAACATATATTCATTGATAAGTCTCAGACTAGTCACTCGATTTTGCCCCGATAAGCCATTGTAGAAGGTCAAGTTGGATTGCTAAAACAAACAATTATGAACTTCAATTAGAGTATTTGAAAGAGTTCAACATATTCATATGCTAGCATTAGTTATGAGAAACGATTTTGAAGCCAAGTTTGGGAGCTGTTCCCGCTTCCCTAGGCCTTCAAATCAACCTGCAAGTCATGTGTGGGAGTACGATGAGGCAGCACTGCGAATCGGAAAATCCCGCCAATTGCTATCGAAGCCAGCCTTTGGACCCTGTCCGAAAGCAGGCTGTAGGTTAGGGAGGGGAAAAGGTCCCAGTCCCGCCTGTCCGGCACTGTACACTATACACTGTACAGTGTAGTCCAAGTCCAAGTCCGCATTTCGCGTCCATGGCAGCCAGCTTTCAGTTGCTTATCAGTCGCCTATCTGCGCTGTGTGGCTTCACATTCATTCCACGGCCTCAGTTCGGGCCAGCTCATATGTATCTGCATCTGTGAGTACGAGTATCTGTGTGTGCTGCGCTATCTCCGATCTGCGGCGAACGAAGAAGAGGAAGAAGAAGGCGAGGAGCTGAAATAAAAACGAAGGAATTCTGCGGATTGTTGTTATTATTGTTATTATAATTCCTTGAAGTGAATAATCAGCGAAATATAATCAAAAATGAGAAAAACAACACAAAGAGGAGTGCGATGTGTAGAGGGGTACTTTGTACTGGTTACTCGTTACTGGTTACTGGTTACTGGGTAGTGGGTACTGGGCACTGTGCACTGTGCACTGTGGTGTAATCGAGTGGAGTGAAGGCTCGGACACCGGCCTCGCAGCCAACTACTGTGCGTAGTAAACTCAACTTTTCCAACAGAAAACAGAAAAAGATCCAAAGATACTGGGCAACAGAGAATGGGTGGACAAAAGCAAACAATGCGGCCCTCGCAGCAATTATTATCGCTTTTAAAGTAAAGCTATTTGGCTGGAACTATCTGCGATATATATCTGCAACTATTAGTCGAGGCCGCTGGGCGGGAAGTGTGCGTGAAATTCCGACCCTTATGGTTCAATTTGTTTTTCTATAGGATAGCAACTGCCTAACTATGCGAATTTAAAACTAAGTAATTAAGAAATATCTCATGTATAGAATCTAAATTTGCTCAGATTTGGAAATGTCTCCACCATTTGTTAACCAGACTCTGTTACGTCTCATTTTAGGTGATTGTTCCGATACCACAGAAGATATGACCGTCGACAGCAGAGGTAAGCCGACTTCGAATATTTGTTTGTATAGGAAAATCCCTCTGGAAGTAGGGCACATCCTGTGGCCTGTCCAATGTCCTTTGTCCGCCGTTCCATCCGCGATAAGTTTGCAGCTTAAACGAAATGGGCCAAAGCCAAAAAATAAATTCTTATCTGTTCGACTGCAGGAAACAGGCGAGTGTCCCCGTCCCTCTCTGTCTATAGTCTACAGCCGTCTCCCTCTGACAGACATAACCCGTTAATGCCCAATAATAAATTTCTCGATGTGTGTAGACCCAGGAGGTTCCCCATTCCCCGTTCCCACCCTTGGCTGCTAGCTGCTGATATTCTGCCAATAAAAATTTAATCCAGAAAAAAGATGAAGACGAAGCCCTCTAATTTAATACCATTTTTATCAGTGCAGTGGCACTGCTCCCATTCCCTCTCGCCTCCTGCGGTTTTTGCGATTTTGACACCTCAGACCTTATAAACCCTTTCGGCTGGAGGAGGGTGGTGGCCGCAACCCTCGTTTCAGTCGCTTCGATGGACTACAGGAAATGACAACGGGTCAAGTCTGTCTCTCGCTCACTCCCTGTGTTCCTGTGACCCTTTCCACTACTACTGAGACCCCTTGGCTAACCCACCCTTTGGGTGGAATTTTGACTTCACTCCGACATCATTGGCATCAATTTCATATCACTTCATAATCATCAGCAATGTCAACGTCATTGAGACGATGTCTCTGACCCGACCACCACAACCCTTCTGTGTTGCCCAGGAGCGGACTGTGGCTCTAGCTTTTCGAATTGAATGTTTTCAGTAGATAAAGGACGGTAATAAAGCTCAGGGATTATCGTAAAGTTCATGGGTTTTATTAGACTTACCCAGCACACCACTCGATAGACTGACTAGCCTTTTCATATAATTTGAGTCCGAATTTCAATGAAGAATTTGTTTAGATGCAAAAAGTATGAGAGTAAAGTTTGAAAGGAAAGTCAAAGAACTATAATGTCTCGTAGGAAGAAAAGTTCAAACAATGAATTTTCAGATCAACCCGTAATACATTGGCCAGTTTAATCCGTAATCTAAAACCTCAACTCCGCTCCTGCTCCGTTTTGGCTCGACATTCCGCACCATTTCGCTGCCATCTCGAGCATTCATCATTAATAATCCCCCGAAGCTGGCGGCAATTGGAGCAGGGCATCCCATCCTCCCCCCATTTCCCTCTCGAACTGCCAGCCCTTCCACGTGCCCGTTTTTGTGCTGCGTCAGTGAAAGATTTCCAGCATACGAACACAGGGCCACAAAAGTCAGATGGAATCGGGAGTTGGGTAGCGGGGAAAGGGCGGTCGAGTGGCCAGTGGGCGTAACAGTTCGCCTAAAAAGTGGGCGTTTGTCTGGGCTAATCTTTATCTGGCTGTTGACACTCCATGGCGACGCCAAGCGACCGAGGAGCCGAGACCAGTCAGCCAACAACAAACGTGGGGAAAAGCGTGTGGCATTCCTTTGGGCCCGCTTCGCCCCTCACCCACTGGCCCTCACTTTTTTGGCCAAAGATTACCAATGCCGCACTTACATTGCCTTTCCAGCCGGCCAGATTGGATTAGGCCCTGTGGTAACTCGTTGTTGGTGGTATTCGATATCCAAAAGTTTCGTCGTTTCCTAAAAAATTCTTTCTTCCTTCATCTATTGCATAGGGTATTCTACCTTCTATCTGGCCCTGTTTCTGTTTCTTTTAGGTTTTTCTGGCTCCGCCCCTTGATGTTTGTTTGTTTGCGGTGGCTTCTGCTGCTGTTTGAAGGCCCCACCCCACCCCGACCTGCTTTTCCTTCCTTACTGGCTGGTGTATCTGGCGATGATGATGATGACGTTGCTCACTTTCGGCGCTCTTCATTTGTTGTTGCTCCTGTGCAATGTACTGTAAGCGCATCTCCCTGTCCTGTGTGTGTGTTCTTGCTTGTATCTGTGTATCTGTGAGCGCCTGCCTTTGCATGTATGTGTGTGCTTGGTTTTTATCTATGAAATTCATGAATGCTTCGGCTTATCTTGCAGAATTGCATACTTGCAGCTCTTCCCTTTCTAGCCTGGCCTTTTGGTTGGCTGCTCCTCCCGTTCCCTCTCGTCTTTTGTCCCTTGTCTCTTGTCTCTTGCCTGTTGTTGGCTGTTGGCTGTTGGCTGCCCTCTAATGGCGCTAAGTGGTGACCCCCTCTCAGCCCACCCCAATCCTCTCTAATGGCATTTTATCTATGGCATAATTTTTTATTATGTCTCCCTCTGTGGCCGTGCTGTTGGCTTAATGACAATCCAGCCGAACCAACCCGAAAACCCAGCCAAACCGAGCCACACACAGACAGCGAGTCAAATTGTTAGATAGCTTTTCGGCATGTAATTAATCATTTGACAAGGTTCGAGCTTCGCGGGGTGAGGGGCAAAGTTTTTCTATCTCCTACTTTTTTTTTTTGGGTTCACGTTCATGCGGGACGCATTGCAATTGCTGCGGGCCAAAGGCGAGTGCAACAACAACAACAACATCAGCAGCAGCGGTAATCGAGAAAAAACCATTACACGGCGTTCAAACTTATCAGCTGCGTTCCATCAACAGACAACCCTTACCGCTGCTCTGGCCCGCTTTACTTATGCTTACAAAAATATCAAGCATACGACATGTGGGCCGGTGTAAGTGCACTATAAAACGGGGAAATCGTACAGGTTGGGTGCTTACTATTTTCTGGATTTATGATTGGAAATGTAAAGCCCTTCGTTTCCTCGTTTTTTGTAGCTTTTTCTTTTTTCCGATCCATAAAGTTTGGGGTGGATATATTTTATACTATTTTAACAATAAATTACCACCGAAGAGAGGTTCCCTTTCGGATACGATGAAATATTGAGAGAAAGAAAGCGCACACTGAGAGAAAACTTATGGTAGAATCAGTAAAACAGATTTTTGCACAAAGTTTGGACATTCCAAGTTAGTTGAGGAACGTCCAATGGTGAATTTTTGCAGCATTCCTTTGTATTATTTCTATCTGCGATTTTCACGATTTTTCGCTGTGTTGGATAGCAGAAGCAGCACCCAGAGTGGCAGCCTCGTAATCCTTTTTGCGGCACGGCATTTATGAAATGTATTCCCGCCTTATCGCTGGCCACAGATCGCTGCTGGTGGTCCTCCGCCTGCTGCCTAAATCCCTCCTGACCCACGGCCCTTGGATTCTGATGATGATGATGATGATGAGTTCGACTTGGGGGCTTTGGTCATAAAATGCTCGCGTCAAGGCGAAGGAGAAGTCCTTTCTGCCTTGTCCTTGCGGTTGCGCAGACAAAGAAGTCGAGAAACGGAGGAAAGGACCTGGGGTTGGCCTCACTTTTTGCGGTGGCCATAACACCAAACACAATCCTTTGGATAAATTTTCTTATCTTCGTCGACCAGACGACGATATTATTTTTAATACAACAACCGAAATTTGTATGTTCGTGTGTGAGTGTAGCTCGTAAATGTGCGTGTCCGTGTGCGTGTGTGAGTGTGAGCGTGTGTGATTTATGCTGTAATTTTTTTATGTATATAGCAAGCATTACAGAGCTCTTTATCATTCTCCCAAAAGTGGGGGATTCTGGGAGAAGGGGTAGTACGTAGGACTGGGATGAAATTTGAATTTCGCTTGGGGACGGACTCTAATAACTTGACCTCTGTTTGCGGGCATCGTTAAGACTTATAAGGCTTTTGGTTCATTGCTCTTTGAGAAATCTAAAATCTCTTAAAACTCCTGCAACCCTTTGACCTGAATAAGGGAGACTTTTATCTGATCCTAACCCAATTTAAAATATTCCATACTTATCCTAAAAACTTCACATTATCTCAACTTCTCTCCTTTTCTTCTTACTTATACGATTATTCGATTTAGTTTTTATTGAGAAATCACTTTGGGCTGGGACCCACATCTGTCAATCAATTAGCTGAATGTCAGAAGCTCGCCTTTATCCAGCGAATTTCCTTTCTTTCGCTCGTCATCCACGTTGAACTTGGCTTTAGCAGCCACCCACTATTACTTTCCCACTTTCTCATGACTGTTTGCATTTGGCTTTCAGTCGTTTTCCAACTGCTCAGCTCACGCACGAATGACCCTCGTCATTGGTGTTGATGATTGCTGATTGGCATTGCGCCTGCTTTTTCCGGCACTTGCTGATGACTTCTGGCAGTTTGCTGGCTTGTTTGTAAAATCCAGTGGGAAATTCAATCAACAATAGAAGCGCATAAATCGAATTCTAGCCAAAGGATTTGTCGAGTCAGTGCTGTGTGCTCGAAATTAACTTCTAAATGCTGGGTGGGCTATGTTTTAATGTTCCCGACGTTCTTAAATCTTGGCAACACCTTTGGAGGTCATTACAAGTTGTTAGCAGACACTTTGCACTTCATCATCTCCAGGTTGCCCTCTGTCCCTCCAGAAGCTGGCTGGCTCCTGCATTTACGGCTTATTTGCTACCTGTCAGTCACTTGGCTACCTCCCAGCCACCACTCCTCCGCACTCCGAACTGGAAGACCAGCCCAACTCATTCGCAAAGTTGTAAACGTTTATGGTGGCAGCAGAAGAACAGCCCTCCTATCATCCTCAGTCCACGTCCTCTGGGCCTTCGTGTTGGGCCTGCTACCACTCTACTCCCCTCCCCTTCCGCTCTCGGCAGTCGCTTGCCTCCTTTTGGTTCCATTCCCCAGCTCAAAACCTGCGCCACACAGACGCACACACTTTTCGGGGCCTAATTGGTAGGTAATGATGTGTCTGACTCGCTGCTTTGTTAGTCAGTCCAGGAGGTGCACGCAGAGAAAGTTTAGTATGTTCCTTTTTTACCTTAAAATAAGATGAAAGTTGAGTTACCATGGCCTGAAACTGTAATAAGCCTGTACATAGAGGTTTTCAGTTTTAAATACTCTTTAGTGATTTTTATGACCGTTTATCTTTTTTAATATTTCCTCTTTTGCAACTCACATTGCGCACAACAGTTTCCAATTATTATTTCCCTCCGTGTAC